TCTCAGCAACCAGACGGTCGACATTCCCCAGAACGTCGACATCACCCTGAAGAGACGCACCATTATCGTGAAGGGCCCCCGAGGAACCCTGCGGAGGGACTTCAACCACATCATTGTGGAGCTCAGCCTCCTTGGGAAGAAGAAGAAGAGGCTGCGGGTTGACAAATGGTGGGGAAACAGAAAGGAGCTGGCGACCGTTCGCACCATCTGTAGTCACGTCCAGAACATGATCAAGGGTGTTACATTGGGCTTCTGCTACAAGATGAGGTCTGTGTACGCTCATTTCCCCATCAACGTCGTTATTCAGGAGAATGGGTCTCTTGTTGAAATCCGAAATTTCTTGGGTGAAAAATAAATCTTGACAAATGGTGGGGAAACAGAAAGGAGCTGGCGACCGTTCGCACCATCTGTAGTCACGTCCAGAACATGATCAAGGGTGTTACATTGGGCTTCTGCTACAAGATGAGGTCTGTGTACGCTCATTTCCCCATCAACGTCGTTATTCAGGAGAATGGGTCTCTTGTTGAAATCCGAAATTTCTTGGGTGAAAAATAAATCCGGAGGGTTAGAATGAGACCAGGTGTTGCTTGTTCAGCATCTCAAGCCCAGAAAGATGAGTTGATCCTTGAAGGCAATGATATTGAACTTGTTTCAAATTCAGCTGCTTTGATACAGCAAGCCACGACAGTTAAAAATAAGGATATAAGGGAACCAGCAGTTAGCGTAATGGCTATGTCGCTGGACTCCCTCGTAGTCGACCACGGTTTGCATCCTGGACCCGGTGGCTTAAAACTCATGCCGAAAAAAAAAAAAGCTATAAGAAAATTCTTGGATGGTATCTATGTCTCTGAGAAGGGTATAGTTCAGCGGGCTGATGAGTAAGATCTAAGAGTTTTCCAACTACGGTAACAAGCCGAATAATTTCTAAGGCCTTCATATGACATTTTAAAGATAATAAAAGACAACAATTGATTTGAGAGAAAAAAAGTTCTTACCTTCAATGATGTAGACTTTCTTTCTTCCTTTATTTATTTATTTATTTTTTTCAACAGGGTGCATGTGCTCGCTAGGGAGAGACAGAAAGAGGGAAAGTGAGAAATTACCCCCCAGGGGAATGGCCATGCAGTAATCCCTTCTTATTCTCCTCCTGGCATTCTGGGCATGTACCCATATGCACCTGGCATGATTTTCAAACCACCAAGTCCAGAACTTGAACCACTGTTGGCCATGGAGTCCGGTGCCCCAAGGACCACACCACCTGCTGGCCCCTAAAAAAAGTATTTTTCCCTCCTTATTTTGTTAGAAGGTGTGGAACACTTGCCAGAGAGACAGAAAGACAGAGAGGGAGTGGGAGAAAACATCCCCCATGGGGCAGAGTCACTCCGCAACCCCATTCCTCCCTCCTGTCAGGATTTGGGGCGTACTTGCACACGCACCATGTGTGTTTTTAAGTTAGCAGATCCCAGACTGGACTGTACAGTCAGTCATGTGGGCTCTGTCTGCCTTAACCCGTAGGTCAGAGGCCAGTTCAGATGCAGATTTTTTTTTTTTTTAAACATAAATTTCTGAAGGCAGAGCTGCAGGGAAGAAAGTGGTCTACTATATCCTTAACTGCTCCCATTCTTTTTTTTTTTTTTTTTTTTACTTTTAGTTTTCCAATTTTGTATCTTCTCACTGTCTTTTAAAATAACAATGTAAAGAAATGTATTTTTTTTAAAGCAGCAGTCTAAAAAGTAATCAGCCATAGACCTAAATAAACTATCAATTTGCCTGACTCTCCAAGAGTACACTGAGTTCTGTTGAAATTTACCTAGGCTAACTAAAATTCTAGGGGAAAGAAAGAAATAAACTAGAGCTTCTCTTCAACTTGTTTACCATATAAAAAAAACCCTGGGGCTTCTGCATCTTATAATGTTACTGATTAAAAAGATATATAGTTGTTTATTAATGTTCTCAAGGCACTATGCAAATTCATATCACCTTGGGTATATTTTGCCTCTAAAGCTATAAAGTGAATATGGAAGCATTTTGTAGTTAACAAGGAGAAAGTATTTTAACTCGAATAGCTAGCTTTGAAGAGGATTTTCCTGTAAATCATTAATGAGAATATGAAGCGAGCTTGGGTGGTCAAGCCTGAAAGTAAATGAGGGTAATTTTCTTTTTTAAGTCTTATTATCCAATGTCACCTGATGTTCAGATTTAAATTTGATAATGCAGAAAATGACCTTACAATTTGCCGTATGGTAAAATAACACAGCTGATGCTCCAAAAATTTTGACAGCACTATGGAAACTATAATTTTTAAGTACCATTTTCAAAGGACAAGTGAAAAAAACTAGGCATTTTGACTTGGGTAGAGTCAGAAAAAGAGCTTGCCTGTCCTTTATCTAAGGGACTATATATTTTACATTAACAATTAACAGAGGGTTTTAGAGCAAAGCAGAGACAAATCTAGAACTTTAAAAATGGATGTAAAGCTCCCAGTGAAATTCCTGAAGGGCTAAATAATTCAGGAAGCCTACGTTTCCCCTCTTATGAAGATGAGGAGGACCAGCCCATGGCCTGCATCTACGTGACCCGGCATGAGATTTGAGTCCGGGACTCAACTGCTTGAAAAACACACCATGCATGTGTGCCCAAAATCTCAAAAGGAGGGAGAGGTGGGGAAGGGACTGTGGTATGACCATGCACCATGAGGATGCTTTCTAACTCCCCCCACCTCTCTCTCTGTCTCTCTCTCTCTGGAGAGTGCTTGCACCCTCTGGCAAATTAAAAAATAAATAAAAGGCCAGCCAGGTGGTATGGTGGTTAAGACAGCTGATCCCACCTGGTAGACTTCCAGTCCCTGATCTGGCGGCTTGAAAAACACATCTGGCATTTACATCATGCATGCTGAAATCCCCAAAAGGAGAATGGAAGAGAAGGAATTGCAGTGTGTCCATCTCTTGGGGGGTGCTTTCTCTCTCTTTCTCCCCCTCCCCCCACCCCCTTGAGTGCACAAGCTATTAAAAAAAAAAAAGATGAGGAATATGGTTAACTCTGGTGACAGTCAATAGTGAGCTGAACTGTACGTTGGAGGCAAGAAATGGCCAATGGTGGGTTTGGATCCCCAGCCTGTCAACCTGACACTTGCCAGGCACCCAAGATTGGAAGGGATAGGGAACCAGGGTCTTAGTAGATGGAACCCTGTTGAAAATGATTTTCTCTCTCTGGCCATCTCTCATGCATACAAATGCTCCCTATCACAAATAAAATAAAACATCTTAAAAGGTAAGGACTATTATTTATTTATTTATTGGAGAGGTTTTTGCTATAGGGTGTGTGCGCTCACCAGAAAGACAGAGAGAGACAGAGAAACAGGAAGCAAGAGATCACCCCCCAGGGGGGACAGCCACGCCACAATCCCTTCTCCTCCATTCTCCTCTCGGGATCTTGGGCACGCACGCATATGTGCCCGGTGTGAGTTTAAGCCACCAGGTCTGGGACTTGAACTGTGGTTGACTACATGGGAGTCCAGCGACGTAGCCACTATGCTAACTGCTGGTGCCCCCAAGACTATAATTTTTAAAAGCAGAAGAAAACTTTATGGCTTTCCATTGTCTAATAAACCTTAGAAGGGCAACCATTTCCTACTCAGGCAGCTGGTTAAGAAATGCCAAATATAGCTGCAGTCAGAGACTCAGGAAAATCAAGGTAGACGCCAGGACAAGGTTTCAACCCTCCAACCACCAGAAAGAGAGTATTTTAAAGAAAGGGCACTGAAAACCACATTTTTGTCTGGTTCGTTTTCTGAGAGATTTTTGTTGCAGGGCACATGCACTTGCTGGAGAGACAGAAACAGAAACCGAGAAATCAGCCATGGGGGGCATGGCATGCCACAATTCCTTCTCTTCTATTCCCCTTTTGGGATTTTGGACATGCACACACGTGCACCCTATGAGTTTCAAGTCACCTTGTCTGGGACTTGAACCTCGGGCAACCATGTGAGTCCAGCATATTAATCACTACGCCACCTGCTAGCTCCAAAAAATACGTTTTACATAACGTGACTGGCTTAAATGTGACCATTCCTGAAATGATAAGCTTCTCAGTTTAGGTACTAGTGTCCCTAGTTTCCCCCTTTTCCCTTTTTTTGGACCTTAAGAAAAAAATTAAAAACTTCAGCTATCACACACTTCTATTAAAAAAATAATGTGAATTAATTTAGTTGTGTCCTTAGGTTAACTTTATGAGGTTTATGCCAGCTTTTAAGTGTCCCAAGGCTTAGGTTGCTTTACGGGAATAACTAAATTCATGGTAAAGTTAAGCAATGATATAGGCTAGAACTCGAATACTCTATTTCACTTTAAGACATTTTAAAAAGGCTTTACTTTGGAAGACATCAGCAGCAATCTGCCACTTTCCAGTAATGCATTCCTATACCAACACTTTTAAAAAATGAAAATTACTGTAATGGTCTATCCTTGAGTTTACTGCCCCAACCTCTTGAGAATATTCCGAAAGCACCACTGTGAACGGATGCTTCTCCGTAGGGGAGAAACAAGAAAATCAGCAGACTCAGCAGCTCTGGGAAGGAGAACCGCAGTTTGCTCCTTGCAAGACTTTTCTACTGCAATGGGTTTACGGAGAACTGCAGTCCTCTGGAGCTTTAAATCTGTGGACCGTTGAGCATTACCGCGCCTTTTTTGAAGTTACATAATGCCTTCAGTCTACGGAGTGGCGGGAAAACAAAGTTTGAAAAATTAAATGCTTAAGATTTCACATAACCCAAGTGAGATACATGCAATAGCATTACAAGAAGAATTTATACAACCCAGTCTTTTGCATCTGATTATCTGAGGCACAGAAACTCCTCATTTTGCACCCCGAAAAAGGAGGGAAAATGCAAGAGTCTTGCTGCAGTTCCTGGGACCTACTGGGAGCCACTTTGTTACAAGTGTATCCAATGTCCCCAGCACCAGGGACTTCTGGGGCGCCGCTCATCCCTGCTCCATTTGCTCTGCAGCTCCCAGAGGTGGCGGTTGTGCTATGAAGGAAGACCCTGCCAAGCTGGCCGACAAGATGCTGCGCACCCCTAAGTGCTCCAGGTGCCGGAACCATGGCTTCCTGGTGCCGGTCAAGGGCCACGCGGGGAAGTGCCGCTGGAAGCAGTGCATTTGCGAGAAGTGCTACCTGATCACGGAGCGCCAGAAGATCATGGCAGCGCAGAAGGTACTCAAGAGGCAGGGCTCCGAGGAGGAGCAGGAGGTGGCTCTGTGTGTCCAGGGGCCTGCGCTGGCCTCCGGGACTGCGGCTGCCCCCCCCCCCCCCCGCCACTTCCGCCGGTCGCTGCAGGAGACGCGCAGCCTGGCCCCGAGGGCTGTGCTGCTGTCTACTTCCCTGAAAGGCCCCCACGGGGCCCGAGTCCGGGCCCCAGCGCCTTCCAGCCTAGTCTGGCCGGCCGCGGCCACGTGGTGCCAAGCGAACGGGCCGCGCTGGTGATGCCCAGTTCGGTGGGGCCCCAGCTTGGCTTGGAGGCCGCAGCCGGGGGATGCCCTGGCCGCCTGGATCTGCGCAGGCCTGTGCGGCCCGTGCCCAGCCCGCCGTTCGCCGACTTCGGTAAGATTCCCAGGCCCAGTCATGGGCACTTGTCCCAGCTGCAGCCTCAGCGCTCCCCGTGCTGGTGGTCCAGGCCAGCCCAGGTTGCCGGGGATGGGCCGCGGGGTGAGGGCTGGGGTGGGGGAAATCATTTCCAAGGTATCCTTGCTTTGAGAAACCTTTCTCCGGAGAGGGACTTAGATTTGGGTAACTATTTGCGAAAAGGAAAAAAGATGGAAAGGAATGGGTGATCCAGAGGAAAGAGATCGGAAGGAATGGGTGATCCAGAGGGTTTTTCACATTTAGGTACAGTTTTTCCTTTTCCACTTTGCAACAAAAAGATGGCCCCCAGCCAGCTTAGCAGCGTCCCCTCTTTGGAGCGCAAGCCTAGGGAGACCCTCTCAGTGCGCTTGCGCGGCTCTTTTTTCCCTTTTTTTGGGCGGGAAGGCCCTCCCCCAACTTCTCTGCGGGCGGGTAGCTAAACTATGACTGCGCCTGCGCACCCTGTCCTGTCTGCAGTCTGAGACCCCTCCTTTCAGTAGTTCCCCCGCTCAATGCGGCTGCGCGCCACTTCCCGCCCTTTTCTCCGTTTGGAGGCTCCTCCCCCAGTGCGTCCATGCAGTTGGGCTTGTTCAATCGGCGCCTGCGCTCCCTTCCCGCACTTTCTGCTCACTGGAAGCTCCTCCCCTCAACCGCGCTCTGGCCCAGTGCGCCTGCGCGTCGCTTCCCGCCCTTTCCTTGCGCGTGGGTTGAAGTGGGACAAGTCTGTACCTCAGAAGAGAACAGCAGTTGGTCAACTGAGGTGTTTTATTTTTCTTTTTCTTCCCTCACCTTCTGCGTTAATTGCGTTATTTGTTCCCTATGTCTTCCTGCTTGAGTTTTTTGTTTTTGCTTTTAATTTGTCATAGGGCATGTGGGTTTATCAGAGAGAAAAGAGAAAGCATCCTCTCTTTGGGTGTCGTGACGCTGCATTCCCTTCTCCATTGGTCCCTTCTGCTGGGCATGGATTCACTGAGGCTGCTAGTCCTCGGAGCTTACAGTGAGAGTGTATTCCCTTGCTACCTGATCACGCTTTTCCTTTTTTTTTTTTCTTTTTCTTTTTTCTTTTTTTTGCCATAAGACACATTTGCTTGCTGGCAAGAGACTGAGAGAGAGAGAGCAAAGAAAAGTGAGAAATCATGCCCCAGGGTGATGGGCCTCCTGCAATCCCTTCTCTAGTCTCCCCTTGGGATTTTGGGGCACACACACACCCAGCGTGTGTTTTTCAGGCAGCCAGCCCTGGACTCTTAACTGCACAGTCAGCCATGGGGGATCCAGCACCCTAACCACCTGCTGGCCACACTGTGTATTTTTTAAGCCATGGAGTCAGCCATGTGGGATCTAGCTCTCTTAACATCAGGGCATGGAGCAGCCTTGCTTTCAGTAGTTTCAAGTCACCTGTAGACCTGAGACTTTCATAAACAGCTCTTTGGGTGTTAGCTGGTGGTCTCGGTGTGTGGCAATGTGGGAGGGAGGGCATAAGGCTCAGAGGGGTGGGCTGGAGGTGGCTTACCCTGTGACCTTGGGCAGGCACCTTCTTTGTGTGGCAGTCCTTCTCTATGTTGAGGAAGTTGGTTTGCATGCTCCCTGAATGTCATTTCTGCCACCCGGGACTTTCTAGGAAAATCTAGGTCCCTAGGGAACTGGCTGTCTGATGGCAGACCAAGAGAGATCCCAAACAGCCATCCTAGGAGAAAGCCACCCTTTTGAGGACAAAGGGTGCCTTTTTCCCCCTCTCACCAAACAGGGACTGAATGCTTACAGCATGACAGACACTAGTGATGATGTCATGGAGAAGTTACATAGTTTGCCCAATGATCTTGTCCTTGTGCGAGGGACAGCATTTATTTAAAAATTCCACAAATCAGGCTAGCAGATGGCATGGTGGTTGAGGTGCTGGACTCTCACATGGCCAACTGCACCTTGAGTCCCTGACCTGGTGGCTTGCTTTCTCACCCCGCACCCCCTGTGAATGCATGTGCAAATTTAAAGTAAAATAATAAGATAATAAATACAATTAAATAAATAAATCTTTTTTTAATGCACAAATTGGTGTACAGATCTCTAAGAACTAATGACTTAACTGTTTTAAAGAAGAGGAGGAGATGAGTATTGTGGACTTAAGGAGCCACATTGGGTTTAGGAGAAAAAACCTTTCAAGCAGAGGGAATAGTGTCTGCAGAGGCCTTGAGAAGGATGAGAAACTGCCAGGTTCTAGCATGATGACAGGGTGGCGGGAAACAGCCCGTATGGGGCTTCATGGCTATGATAGGTTGTGCTGTTTCTAAGAACACTGGGATGTGGTTGAAGGAGTAAAAAGCAGTGAGGTCAGAACCATAATGGAGGTGGGAGTTTTGGGTAAGTGAATATGTTTATTACTCTGCTCCCCTGGGATGGTAATGTGCTGTTCCTTTCCCTAGCTCCATGTTTCTAATATTATACTTCCCTTGTGGCTTACCTTTTTCAGGGTTCCCTCGGAACATCAACTCGGATTGTGTGATGGGGTCTGACTACCTGGAGAGAGAGCCTTCGAAGCTGTACCCTGGCTGCCCCAGCATGCACTCCTACCGCCCGTATCCACTGGGCTACCAGGATGCTTCCCCGACCTCGGGAATCCCCCTGCAGAGGGGCTTCAGGCATGTCTCCTGCAGCCATTACCATGGCACTGGCTTGGTGAGTCCCATCTGATGACTTTTTCAGGTTCTTCCTTATCCCAGCTGTCTTTGCTGCTTTTGTGGATCCTCAGCCCTACAGAGCCAGTTGTCATAAATGGGATTCTCACTCTGTATGAGGCCTTGATCAGAGAGATACAGCACTGGCCAGGTATGGTGTGTGCTTCTGGGATGCACGTGTATAGACAAGTCTGAACCACTAGGCCTAGGCTATGGCATGCATCTTTCAGAGCTATGGGCTAAAAGACTCTGGAAGCCCATGGATGACTGACCACTAGCCTTGACTCATGGAATGCTGATAAGGGCCCTTCATTTTCTGCGCATAGAGAGAGAATATCACTGTCCTGGAGCCACAAAGTTAAGGGCAGAGCCAAGACCAGTCTATACCTGCCCACAGGTATAGGTATAGACTGCAGAGGGCTTTCAGGAGGAGGAGGTATTGGAGCTGAGTCATGAGAAATACAGAAAACCCCCCCCCCCCCCCCAGCACTTAGAAAATATTGTTGAAAGAATGAATGAAATTTAATCTTTTTATAAGATTAAAAGGTCAGTCATTAACAAGCACTTTCTTTAAGGCTGAAGTTATGATAATCGTCAGGTCAACCCTGTTGTGTGGTGCTACCAAGTTTTGCGGCCTTGATTACCAACTCCTTCCAGACTAGGATCTTAAAAGCCCTCTTGACCATCTCTGAGGGCCACTAGAACTACAGTACAGTGAGAGGCCAGGTGACCAGTCCAGACTTTGGTTCCATAAAGCTGGATCTGTGGGGGAGATTGGATCAAATGCAGAGCAAAGTCATGGAGATTCGACATTACCATTACTTCCTCCCTCAGAGCTAAAACCCTAACTGTGGGTATCTAAGATGTTTCCCTGGGAGGAATGATGAGAGAGCAGGCTTCTGTGTTTAGTATGGAGGGGGATTAAGAAGAAAGGTGAACATTGATAATTTACAAAACAAAAGTTATCAACCAAAGAACATGGAGCCAGTCCCTTGGGGGTGGAGCTGTGTCCAGGCAGGTTGGGGACGGGGCAGCTTCAGCTCTGGCAGCATCTCATCTGTCTGCTTTCGATATGGTGAAGTTTTACTGAAATATATGGTTCTCAACTGACTGAAAGGGGAAAGTTTGAGGACCACTGATCTGATTAATTTCCAGGGTATGCCACTGACCTTCCAGATAGGTCTTATTATCCCATTTTGGAGTTGAAGAAAAAGACTCAGAGAAGTTAAGTGTTTAGTCACAGGTCACAAAACTGTTAAATGACTGACTGGGATTAAAATGACGCAGCCAGTTGGTGACAGACAGGGCCAGGATTATACCTTGTTTGCCCTGACTCAGGAGTTTAAGAACCTTTCTGCTGTCCTAAGTGTGTCTCTGCTTAGAGGTGGAGCATGCATGCCTCGTGACTCTCACTGCCTTGTGTTCTCCACCTGAAATGTGGGCACTGCCTCTGGCCACCCCATTGCAGCTCAGCCCAGAGACAGTGAGCCGTCTCCAGCCTCCACACAAAGAGGAGGCTCTGGCCAAGTGCAGCATGTACCGTCTGCTCACCCAGAAGCTTGCAGCCTGCTGTCCAGGGCAGGGCTCTGATTGACAGGCCCGCCAGACAGCCTTTGTTAAGAGTGTGATTTCAGTCCGTTTATCTGGGCCTGAGCTGCCACCACAGGCCCCAGGCAGGAGCTGTGATCCAGGGACAGACTTGGCTGAGGAGCTTGGAATTAAAGCACTAATAATCCCCCCTTCCACCCCCCCTTCACGTCTGGAGAGAGGATCAGGCATCTATTTGTGAGGCTGTTTCAAATCCAAGAGCCTATGAATTACTTTCATCCTTGTCTGTTGCCCCCGCCTAGTCTTTGGGGTATTCCCCAGAGATGACATCTCCCTTCCTCTTCCTGTCCCTCTCCACCTGCTGCTGCATTGCTCCCTCTATCCTCCTCTTCACAAAGGTGCACAGGCTCTGGAGTTGGAACAACCTCAAGTCCAATCCACCCTCCACCATTTGCTAGCCACTTGACCTGGGAAGTTTCCTGGCCTCCAAGGACCTCACTCAGGCTCAGAGTCTGTAAAGTGGGGGTAGGAGGACTATCTCATAAGGTGGCTGAACAGATCACATAAGGAGTGATGCATGGGCCTGGCACGTAGTAGGCACTTAACAAGTGGACTTTTTTCCATTTTCCGCCGTCACATAAAGTTAGGAGATACTGGATTATTCACTATGTGGAATTTCTCAAACTCAATTGACTGATCACAGTTTTCAGAGAACTCAGAAATTATCTTGTAGGACATGGGGGTTTCCTGAAACACAGCTTGAGGAGAGATGCCCTGCAGTATCTATTCAGAGAAATAAATAATGGGAACCACATCCGAAATTGATTGGTATTTCTCATAACATGCCCGCCTTTCCCAGTTCAGCTCTGAGCTGCATAGTCATCCCCATCCAGACCCTTGTGCTGTGGGGTGGGTTCACTTCTATCTACTGAAGAAGGAATGGAAAACGGTGGTGGTGTTTGAAGTCACCCAGAGTCCCTTCCCTCAATATCAGCTATATCACACCCAGGTTGCTGGCGTTTGCTCCCAAAGGCCCCTGACACTGAGTTGGGGTCATTACGTGTGCCAGCCAGGGTACCCCTGTGGGGTTGAGATGCACTTGGACACTTCCTTAGTGCAGAGCGGCACAGGGTGGCAGTCAGCTGAGTGGGCTGTGGAGTCACACATGCTTGGCACAAGCTTGTCTTTGCTACTTAGCAGCTCTGGACCTGTAGCTTCACTTTATTTAACCTGTTTCCTATCATTACAACAAAGCTGGTACCAAAAGCTTCTTCCTAGAGTCATAAGGACCTAAATGTATACAGAAGGTTCCAGTGTTACTGCTGGTTGTTCCCAGCACTATCTGGGCTATCTTAGTGCCTATATTCCTTCTTGCCTTTAGCCACTTGGCAGGTGTTTGCTGAACACCCCTTCCCTAGTGCACTGTGCCAAAGTGTTTCGGACCATGGGTGAATCTACCCAAGTGGAGTTCCCCATTTGATTGACCAGTCTGGCTAACTGTCTCTGTCGTGTGTGCTGTGCAGGTGCCAGAACCGGTGGGAGACTTCCAGCCAAGCTTCTACCCGCCGCCACCACCGCCTCCGCAGCCCCAGTTTCTCCCGCCAGGCTATCTCGCTGCGCTCCACCTCCTCCCACCGCCACCTCCACCACCACCACCACCGACTTTCTCGCTGACTGTCCTGTCTGATACTGACAAGGAGAACACTGGTAAGCTCTAAGCTCTAGTCTTCCAGCTTCTGGGACAGCCAGGAAGGCTTTCTGGAGACAGCTGGGGCTGATCTGAGTGGATGTGGCAAGAAGGGACATGAGCATAGGAGTTAGAATGTGCAGGAACCTGAGATAAGCTCTTTCTTACACCCCTCCCCTAGTTTTGTAAGCAAGCAGCTAAAGGAGTGGGGATGAGATTCTCAGGTAAGGAAATTGAGACCTTGGGAAGTTCTTGTAGAAATAAATGGCAGAGCTGGGATTTGAGCAGTTTTCTGGATCCAAGTCCAGTGCTTACCCCTTACCTGATCACTTGTGGGTGAATGTGTGGAGGACAGCATACAGGTGGTGTGTCTGGATGACACAGGGGCCAGGCCTCTGGTTGGGGTGTGTCCTCTCTGCTCAAGGAAGCGGCAAATGCTGAGCCCAAGGCAGTGTCAGGAACCACTTTGGGGCTGGTGGGCTGGTTCCTCTGCCCCAGGCCCCTCTGGAGAGAGAATCAGACCAGGAGTTAGAGACTTCGTCCTTTACGGCTTGGCCACTGGTATACTGGGCAGTCTTCTTAATTACAGTGGGCCCCCTTACAGGGTTACTATGAGGGTTGACTGAAGTTTTCCATGTGAAAATAGAGGGCCCATGCAGCTTTAAAGGTTCTGGGGACTTTTTTCCA